TGTGTGATATCAATATGAACCTGAACGTCATTTTGACTTATGGCTTTCTTCTGTTGTTTAAAGTTGTATTTTTTTTTATTTTTAATGATGTGTTTCTGAATATGTCGTTGGTAACATCACTTCAAAGTGTTGGCGTACTCACGTAGGTGGGTCAGACATGGGTTGTTTCTGAAAAGTACAAGGGAAATCATTTCTCAGATGAAGGCTGTGCTTCCTGTGAACCCCTGATGATTGAAGCAAACCGCTTCTTCTGCATCTTCCCTTTGCTTGAGATGAAAGCTTTTCCTGCAAGACCAGAAAAAGACAAATTAGACAAAGAAGTGTGATGGTTAACCACCTTGTGACACTACAAGATGAGGAAACGTTCAATGTGGTTTATTTGTTACCTAATACCTGGGGGCAGTCGTGGCCTAATGATACTTGTAACCCAAAGGCCACTGGTTCGAGTCTCGGTACCACCAGTGATTGTAGGTGGGGGGTGAATGACCAGCGCTCTCTTTCACCCTCAATACCACGACTGAGGTGAGACCCTTGAGCAAAGGCACCGAACCCCCAACTGCTCACCGGATGCCGCACTGCTCCGGGTGTGTGTTCACTACTCACTGCTGTGTGTGCACTTGGATGGGATAAATGCAGAGCACAAATTCCGAGTATGGGACTCCATACTTTTTTTTAAATAAAGAGACCAGGTTCACTCATTTATTGTCATACCTCAAGTTTCATATATGTATTTTAGGGTCAGTAATTTTTTTAAAGAATTTCATATTTTTATTCAGCAAACAACCATTGGTCAGAGCAAAGGCACCGAACCCCCAACTGCTCACCGGATGCCGCACTGCTCCGGGTGTGTGTTCACTACTCACTGCTGTGTGTGCACTTGGATGGGATAAATGCAGAGCACAAATTCCGAGTATGGGACTCCATACTTTTTTTTAAATAGAGACCAGGTTCACTCATTTATTGTCATACCTCAAGTTTCATACATGTATTTTAGGGTCAGTAATTTTTTTAAAGAATTTTATATTTTTATTCAGCAAACAACCATTGGTCAAAAGTGACAGTAACGACATTTATAATGTTACAAAAGATTTCTATTTTAAATAAATGTTATTTTGAACTTTCTATTCATCAAAGAATCCTGAAAAAAGCGTATCGCCGTTTTTACAAACATATGAATCAGCACAACTGTTTTTTAACATTGATAATAATAAGAAAAGTTTCTTCAGCAAATCAGCATCATAGAATGATTTCTGAAGGATCATGTGACCCTGAAGATTTGAGTAAGGATGCTGAAAATGAAGCTTTGCATCACAGGAATAAATTACATTTGAAAACATATTACAATAGAAAACAATTTGAATTTTAATAATATTTCACCTTTTTTAAACCTCTTTGTGTGTGTGTGAAAATATTAAATATTTAAATATCAGATAAAAGCAAATATTATAACTTGCTGTAAGAACACTGAAAACAAAAATAAAAACAAATTATTGGCCTAATCAATATTTTGTCATGTTTTTCAGTAAAAAATAAACATCCTTATGAAAAGATAAATGTATTTGAGAAGCAAAATAGCATCAGATATGAAGTTTTCAGAGAATATATCCTAAATTATTTGTTTCTTCATAGCCCTTGGCAATTTTATATGCATAAACTTCACTAAATTCTGTTAAATGTATGCTTAAAACAAGAAATAACACTTTGCCGACAGGATAAGAAAAATAAACCTAATTCAAGATATATCCTCTGAGTATCTTTCACAATTTTGCTACTCACAGAAATGTGTCTTGTTTTCATGCGGTTTAATAAGATATTTTGCAGCTAATATTTGCAAAACAAACAAATAAGAATAAAAAAATGTTTCCAGATGCGATGTGTATAGGATTTTATAGTGCTATTTCAAGTACATCAGTAAATTCCACACAGGATATAGTCATATGAGACTCTCCCTTTAGAAGAATGACGCTGTTAGATAAGTGTCTGTCACATATAAATGTCATAAAATGTCACGCTTTGCTACCTGAGTGAACTGTTGTTCACATGAGACATGAAACACCCGAGAACTGCAGTACCTTCATCAACTCATCATTTATAGTGGGAGAGATCAATCTTCCTGATGGTTTTTTTCACTGCAACATGAAGTACACACACTGTAAAAAATTTTCACCCCTTTCAACTTAAAAACGCAAGTTTTGTGGCTGCCTTAAAATTTTAAGTTAAATCAACTTAAAAGTACAAGTCATTTCAACTCACTAATTTAAATCTTGCCTAGTGCTGAATTGTTTTATTGAAGTTCATTTGACTTTACAATATTTGCTGTTTCAACTTAAGTTCAAAATTTTTAACATTAATTTTCTAGTTAAACAACACACACACAAGCAAAGACATTTCCTATACAACAGCCTCATAACCCTTTAATAACCTGAGTTGCCAAAAAAAAATATTAAGATGGATGGTGATCCTCACTGTAATGTGCTCAGTCATAGCCTACAAAGGGAGGTAAACGGGAAATTGTTGGTTAGTTGCTAATTACAGTTAAGCCCAAAGATGTAACTTAAGTTACACAACACTGTTACAGACTTTTTGTTCATGATTAAAATATGACCGATTCATACAACATAATGCATTTGTTTGCATTTACTGTTACCTGTAATCTGTTACCAGTAAGCAATTTGCAATCGTAAAACAAAATTATATATAAAATATATGATGATGGCCAATAAAATAACAAATGGCACAGAAAACGAGCTTGTGAGGAACAGATGTAACGTTAGGCCTACAGTGCGTCCAACTGAATGTAACAAGGTTAACAATTGTTTGAATCGCGGTCTCTTAAATCATATTAAGAAGTTTCATATGTTCGTGGAGAAACAAATTTGTGTCAAATCTCAAACGTTACATTACAATCTGCAGTGCTAATGCAGCACAGCGGCCACCGTAACAGAAATGCAAAACTTGAAAGGTAAACACATTTCGGAAAACAATGACAGAACATACCTAATTCTGCTCTATTCTGCTAAAATGAACAATAATCTCCCAAAAATTGTTACACAAGCATTCACTCACCTCTCCACGTTGAATATGCTTCTTCGCGCCAGCCCAACGGACAGCTTCCTCAAGTTCATGAGTTGTTCGTCTGAAATTCCTCCGCGATTTAGTTAGTTCGCTGTATAGTCTGCCCGTGTCTCCTTGTTTGATGTTGCACTGCGATGTCTCATGTTTCAAACATGAGTCTAATGTCTAGATTTGCTGAATATTTTTTTTTCTTGTATAGTCTGCCCGTGTCTCCTTGTTTGATGTTGCACTGCGATGTCTCATGTTTCAAACATGAGTCTAATGTCTAGATTTGCTGATTTTTTTTTTTTCTTGGAAAGGACTCTGATATTAAATTCATGTACAAATTTGACTCCTGCGCATGAATCCATGTTCAGAGATTTGGCCGGTTAGTGCCAATAAACTACAACTTAAAATGTTAAGTTCACCGAGCTAAATTGGGCTCTTTGAATTTCAGTAACATTAAACTGACTTAAAAAAATCAAGTTGAATCTAGTATAACTTATAAAAAAAAGTTGAAATTGCTTAAATTATTTTTATGAGTTAAAGTAACTTAAAAACATAAGTTGTCATGGTTTTTTCATCATATCATTTTTTACAGGATGCATTAACTTGAGCCAAGTCCACCATGACCTGAGGTAGAGAGAAATATATTACTAGAAATACTAGAAATTTCTATGAAACTAGAAAATAAAATGTGACTGATTGGTCAGTTATTGCAGGTTCATGTGCTCAGGTTCTTGTGGTGTGATCTATGATGTGTCACAGTGATCATAGTTCATGAATCAGCTCTTGTGGAGCTCAAACCTGCAACCTTTCTCTTACCAGAGCAGATCTTTAACCACTAAGCCACATCACCCCTACCACCCCCCCCTCTCCCCACTCTGAGTTCTTTTGCCCGACACAAGATGGCAGTGAAGATCTAATGCATTCTCTTTCAAACTTAAAGGGAAATCATTAATAGACTTCACAGTTAGTATTCTACATATCTGTGATCTGTTCATTATTGAGTGAGCCAATAATTCACATCAAATGCATACAAATTAATACAGTTTACCATTTGAAATTACACACTCTCTTTCAAGTTCAAACCATAAATAAAACATAAGTAAACAAGAGTCTCATTTTCATGCAGTTTTAAAATGTCATTATTTTTCATACTTTTAATATGAAATAAGCACTTCTGAATTCAATGCGAATATAAATATAAATAGCAAATATAAATGTAAAATTTTAAATGCAAATGTAAATCCCAAGTCTTTAAATCTTGACCAAAATGTAAATATTAATATGAATGTCAAATTTTAAATACATATGTAAATGTTAAGTCTTTAAATTTTGAACATACAATGTATATATAAATATTTATAATAAATGTAACATTTTAAATACAAACGTTGACGTTTTTAAATCTTCAACATAAAATGTAAATATATTTCATGTAGTCATTAATAAATGTAATAATTTAAATACAAATGCAAATGTAACATCTTTAAATGTTAATATTGAATATACATTTAAAGTCTAAATAAATCTTACTCTTTAAAACTAATGTAAATATTAAATCAGTATAATTTGAAATATATATTAAACCACTTTAAGTGGTTAAGTGTAACGCAATTTTTAGATCTAAATCGTTGACAGACACTATGTAAATTTGAACAGGTTACATTTAAAGACAAAATATATATATTGAATCTATTAATTTACATCTTTATTAGAAAAATTAAATATCAATGCAAATATTTAATCAAAATGCACATTTTACCTCTAAATATTTAGCCTGGCGTGTGCAGTGAGAGTTTGTGTGGATTTGTGGCGCCTCTCTGCGGTCGGATGTGGTACTGAGCGAGAATCGGCAAATCTTCATATGAGTTCATTGTGTGTGTGTGTGTGTGTGTGTGAGAGTGTGTGTGTGTGTGTGTGTGTGTGTGCACTAGAGCACCGCCAGAGCGGACGCGCCTCCCTCCGCCACAGGGCCACTGAGAGGCCGTACGTCTGGTCGCGCGGCGTCTGCGGCTCACGCTCGGGGATGGATCAGGGATCCGCCGCGGGGACCGGAGGGACCTTCATTTCCCTGAGCGACACTGAGCAGAGATGTTACTCCGGGCTGTACGCGCTCTGTCAGCCCGACAGCAGCGGCAAACCGGCGGCGGGGAAAGTGGCGGAGCTGTTCCGGGCGTCGCAGCTGCCGGCCGAGACGCTGCACCAGGTGAGTTTACGCGGATTTCACCGCCGCCCCTCAACGAGCGTGACGGGGACGCCGTGGGGGGCTGCGCGCGCTCGAGGATCAGATATCTGCTGTGTCTGGATGTACAGTATGTGACGGTGTGTTCAGGTAAAGTTGAGGGACCTGCTTGTGCCTTGAGGGCGTTTATGGTACAGTGATGGTATCAGATGGTAATACAATAGTACTCTGATATGTATAAACATTGACCTATGAATGAGGGTCATGTTTATACACCATTGTATTGACATAGTTCTTCAAGATAAGTAAAGGAAATTCACAGTATAGCCATGGTACCATGTCCAAAAACACATGACAGTACTTTTTGGCACTTGAAAGTGTACTGTAGTTTATACTGTAACTGTACTGTAGTGTGTATATATACTAAACACGATATACTAGATTCAGTGTATGCTATATACATATATGTAATAATTTAATCTCCTTTATGGGATTAATACATTAATAAATTAATGTATTAATCCCATAAATTATAAATGTAAGTTATTATTTGAAGAAAGCACTGCGATGAGCTCAGCAAAGAGAATTTGAATGTATACTTATTTCATGAAATAGCAACAAGTAGCATTTTTTAAATCTAAATTAGATTTTTAGCAAATTGTGTCATTATCTTAGTAACATGCTAATAGCCATCAGTTCAGGGCTCAAAATAAATAAAAATTGCCAACTAATATTAAACATTTAGTAATATTTTATATATTACATATATACATATATCACACACACACACACACATAAATTGTAATCCAAAAAGTAATCCATTACATTTCAGGTAATGTACCTGTAATCAGACTTTTTTTTTTATTACTTTAATACTTTTAACCTAACTTGTTTCTCACATTGATTTAAATAAGAAAATCTTGTGCCATATTGATATAAAAATACAAAGAGAAAGAAAATGTATTCCATTCGCTGTTATTAACAACATGAAGTGCATTAGGCTACACATTACATTACGTCAAGGCTTCATCAAACAATTTTTTTGGAATCTGATTACGTATTACATGTAAGGAGTTAAAATATATATTATTTTAATTTAATAATTTAATAAACTCTAAGTCTTTGTACTATAGATAATTTGATAGCTTGTTTGCCATTAGTACATTTGATGGTATGATATATGGTATTGGGATATATATTTACCATATTATTGAATGATTATCATATTTATATACCTTGTTATTGCCATGGTACCATGCCCCAAAAATGTGTAGTGTTTATACTAGATGCTGTAGTCAGTATACACTCATTTGGTAATATATTATTTGCTTATCGATGCTTATATTTTGACTTGATATTGTTTGAGAAATACTATGATTTATCTTGCCGTAACTCAGTTATTGGGTAGTAAAATGCTGTTAGGGTCATGTGCTTGTTCTGAAGATATTTCGGTGATTAATCAGTTTAAAAACACTTCTGTATGTTAGTGATTTGTTTTGAGGAACATTTGAGGCATCAGTAGTGAGGATTTTCTGCTGACATTTGCATTACCAGGCTTTTTTTTTTTTTTTACAATTGTAAACACTAGGACACATCATATGAGTCAAGTGAAAGGTGTTTACCGTGTTCAGTTGGTCAGGCTTTGTAGGTGGTGTTCAAATACTTAACTCCACAGTTGTGTGTTGTCACTGAGGGTGAATAGCTGTGTGAGCGTGTGAAATCGGATAACAGGAAGGGTGCTGCCTCATTCTCACACAGATAACACTGGGCTGGACTGGTTCACAGGACTGGTTGTTATAGGCGGGATCCAAAACAATACTTAATTTCACTTCAGTAATTCTTGAAAAGGTTTGCATGTTGCTCTGGTTTACAGAATATGGTTAATAAAGCAACAAGAAGTTTACATTGACCATATTAGTTTTATTTTGGTCTATCAGTATTGGTCTAGTGTCAGCTAGCCTGCACATTTATATGTGCAACAGTGTATTGATATAGCTTTTATTAACAGTTTGAATTAGTTTTTTTTATTTTTATATTTTCCATTTTATTTTTAGTAATTTTGTTGCATTTTTGTCATTTTTATTAGTTTTTTTTAAATTTCAGGTTTAGTTAATTTAGTACATCAAGTCAAACTAAATTAAAATTAAAAGTCTTTTCTTTACAGTAGTAAATAATTTAGGATGGTTTCTCTGCCGGCAATGTTATACAAATTTATCATTTTATTTATTTTGATTAGTCATAATTGAGTAAAAGAAAAAGTGTCCCTCTGACACTTTGAATTACAGGGCTGTTTTTTTTTTTTTGCTACTGTACCTTTAAGATTTGTATGTATGTAGCCACTTTGCATATGCTTTGCCTTGTGCTTTGCTCATTTCACTTCTGGTGTTTAGGATTAGTAGTAGCCTATCTGTCCTATTTATTGCCTCACTGTGACTGACTGGGTCAAGTTTCTGAACACCCAGTTGGCGTTGTTGATGTGTTAAATTGGACAGTCATGAGTTAATATATAATATATTAATCTAACGTCAAGGAAGCTTTGAAACTGTTTTCATAGTCAATACTCTTTATTAAAAAATTGAATGAATGAATAAAAAACAATAAATACAATTTGTCAATGAAATACACTACTATTCAAAAGTTTGGGGCCAACTCTTTTTTTTAAAGAAATTAATTTGTTTATTCAGCATGGATGCATGATTTGATCAAAATTGACAGTAAAGACTTTTATAAGGCTACAAAATTTCAATTTCAATTAAATGCTGTTCTTTTGAACTTTCTATTCATCAAAGAATCCAGAAAAAAAATGTGACACGGTTTCCACAAAAATATTCAGCAGCACAACTGTTTTCAACATTTATAATAATCAGAAATGATGTGGAGCAGCAAATCAGCATATTAGAATGATTTCTGAAGGATCATGTGACACCGAAGACTGGATTAATGATGCTGAAAATTCAGCTTTGCATCACAGGAATAAATTACATTTTTAAATATATTACAATAGATAACAGTAATTTTAAATTGTAAAAATATTTCATAATATTACTGTTTTTACTGGATTTTTGATTTTAAAAAATGCGGCCTTGGTGAGAAAAAGAGACTTCTTTCAAAAACATTTTCCAATCTTATAGACACCGAACTTTTGAACAGTACTGTATGATCTTATAACATATAGAAGATGATTTCTAAGATCATTGCTTTCTGGCTCATATTTCATCGTCTTTCAGGCACAAGTAATCTTATGTAAACAAAAACAAACACAGGCGATTAGATGGAGTGTGTCTCAGCAGGCTTTGGCATGGAGCGCTGCTGCAGTGTGCTTTGAGAATCATCTCATTGTGTTCCTGCACAGACAGGAAGTCCAGCATGTCCTTCTGCTCTGTTTCCTGTCTGTTTGCCCTGGCTTGGCGACCCATACTGACTTAACCCTTAAAAGACAGCAGAACACACACCAACACGCACAAACATATTTGGGAAGGCCACATTAGCAGGAAGCATCACACACAGCCATGCTGCTTTTCTTTGTGTTGGTCTGTAGGGATGAATTTCAGTGGTTTTTGGGTGTAATTTTTCTCTTGAACTGTTTGTTGTTGTACTGCTATTTTGTCAAATACATCTTTTTTATGCCCAAACATACACACTACACACTGACTAAAATTAAAAAAGTGAAAAAGCATAATAGGACCCCTTTAAAAGGCAACACGAAATTAGTTGTGGGCCTTTTTTGGGGCCTTCTTTATTGTTTCTTTCATTACTGGTCTCATTTTGCAAGATGCATTAGTGCATGTTATTTTGAAGAAGACCAGTTTGATGAAAGATTATGAAAACACCTCTCAGGGCTTAAAGTTCTCCGGCGTGCAGCGTTTGGCTGAGGAAAAAAGTAATCCTACATTTGAAAAAAAACTTGTTGATATCCCTTTCGAGTCAATGAATTCTCCTACCAATGGTATGAGAGGAGCACAGCTTTCATTCTCAACCAAACTAACATTACTAGCCAATCAGAATGTTTTGCTCTTATAAACACGAGACGCGCATAATAGTATCCAATTGCAGAGTCGCAGCCCTGATGAATGGAGAAGCGCAACAAAAAGCTGCGAGGCGCAATGGTCAAAGATGTCCATCTAGCGCATATTTACATAAAAAAAAACTAATTAAAAAGCTTTGCCAACACAGGAGAATACATCAACCTATTTCTAAATATGCCATTTATTGTACATTGCGATTTCCAAATAAAAGTTTCTGAGTTTGCATGTGGCCAAATATGAAAATTTTATGGATTTAAACTTATATTATAATAATAAAATTATATTATAAACTTATATTATTTCATTTAATCACGCTGTAAAGTGAAACGTCACCAGGCCGTACTTAAGTTGGTTATGTTCATATTATGCATAGGCATACATTGTGTATTTTAACAGTGTTGTTCAATAAAACCATGTAATTACTTGGTTTTGATATTTTATTTGAG